TATGGTATCCGGAAGTTGCAGATCCAGTGTGTGGTGGAAGATGACAAAGTGGGCACCGACTTGCTAGAAGAGGAGATCACCAAATTTGAGGAGCATGTGAGTGGGTGGGCATGGGCACTAGGGGTGGGAAGATCAGGTAAACGCTGAGACACTGGCCCCTGCTGCTCCACATCCATAGGACCAGATCCCTCTGCAATCCCACTGTGGAGCATGAGCAGGTGGACCCTTAGGCAATCTGCATCAACCTTTTGTCTCCATCCACAGGTGCAGAGTGTTGACATCGCAGCTTTCAACAAGATCTGAAAGTCCAAGAGTGTGGTTTGTGTGTGTGAGGACCTGCTGAGATTAAAGACTGAAATCCAGCACCCTGTCTCTTGTGATGTTATTGGTGTACAATACTCTGCCAGGCTCTATCCATACTTGTCCCAGCCCAGCCCACCTCTTGCCTCTTCAAGCTTTTTGGGCCAGAAACAGAATTCATGGAGCCTACATGTCTATTCTGTGCCTCTTGTCCCTGCTATTTTGACCATGTGGAGTACACCTAGGCCTGATCTACATGCCTCTTCACTCTCCTTAACCTCTGGAGGGGCACCACAGTTAACTGGAGTGGGCACATCTTTTATGTTCTGTGATGGTTGGAATATGGACAGCTAACTATACACTGTGGAATTTTGCCCACCCATTCCACTTTGTGTCAGTGCTTGGGTATTGGATGAAATAGTGTGGACATCTAGGTGAGAGGTACCAAAAGTTCTCCTGTTGGGCCTGAGATGCATTATTCAATAAAAGCTGTCACTTGAGGAAGGATGGCTTAGCTAGTTAAGAGCACTGGCTGCTCTTCCAGAAGAGGGAGGTTCAATTCCGACTTTCTGGAAGAAGGAGCATGGGCACTAGGGGTGGGAAGATCAGGTATATGCTGAGACACTGGCTCCTGCTGCCCCACATCCATATGACTAGATAAATCCCTCTCCCACCCCACTGTGGAGCATTAGCATGTGGGCCCTTAGTCAATCTCCATCAACACCCAGCTGTAATGTGATCCAGGGGATCTGATTCCCATTTCTGGTCTCTGGGCATTAAGCCTGCCTGCAGTACAGAAACACCATTCCCTCCCCCAGTCTTTTTTTTTTTTTTTTTTTTTTGACTGCCCTGGAACTTGTTGGGGATCCTCCTGCTTCCCCTAAGGCTGGCATTAAAGATGTTAACCACCATGCTCAGCATAAACTGCCCTAGCTAGAACATGGACTAGCTAGGCATCTGGTAGCTGGCTTAAGCCAACATCCCTGTTGCTGGTGCTTGAGATCCTTGCTCAGGCCTTTAGGGTTCCCTGGCTTTACAAGCAGATGCTCACAGTTGCATAGGTAACCCCAGCTGCCCATCCCTGGTCTGGGGCAAGAGGCCAGGGTAAAGTCCAACCTGAGCTAGCATTCAAACCCTGTTTGGAGTTGCTGTTTTGCATTTGCCACTGCTAGTTACAGTCCACTGTCCTGTAAGAACCATTCACAGGGGCAAGCTTCTAGCTGGAGTCAAGGAAGTTGGGGTAGGGGTGTGCTGGTGGGCTATCTTTGTTGGTTTGGGTCCATGTAGCTCTAGTAGTGTAGTTGGTTCTCCCCGCCCTCTGCTGCCGGGAAAGGCCCCGCCCCTGGGTCAGTTCCCTGGACCAGTGCCCTGAGGGGCGGAGTAGGCCGCCATTAGCCAGGCTTGTGACGCTGCATATACCGTGTGGAATTGCCATGGAGCTGGATGACGAGGGGCGTGCGGTGGTACGGCCACTGCTCACTGACCTCTACCAGGCCACCATGGCTCTGGGCTATTGGCGTGCAGGCCGGGCATGCGAGGAAGCGGAGTTCGAGCTCTTCTTCCGCCACTGTCCGTTTGGAGGCTCCTTTGCCCTGGCTGCAGGACTGCGGGACTGTATGTGCTTCCTGAGAGCCTTCCGTCTGCAGGACGCAGGTAGCTCCGCACCCCACACTGGTAGTTCTCTGGCTGGGAGAGAATCCCACTCCTTCCCCCTCACCCATATCTTCTAGATATGCTCTTGACCTCTGAGGGGACCTGCACTTGCCTGGTCAAGTCCTTCCCCCAGACCACATGTATTCTTTATCGCCCCAGATGTGCAGTTCCTGGCTTCAGTGCTACCCCCAGACACTGACCCTGCATTCTTCGAACACCTTCGGGCCCTTGACTGCTCTGGGGTGACGGTGCGGGCCCTGCCAGAGGGTTCCCTTGCCTTCCCTGGTGTGAGTGTCCTGCAAGCTGGGTGGGTAGAGAAAAGGTGGGATGGTCCAGGAGGTCTGGCTGTGGAGCTAATCACCTGTCCTGCAGGTGCCGCTACTGCAGGTGTCTGGGCCTCTACTTCTAGTACAACTACTAGAAACTCCTCTGCTGTGTCTGGTCAGTTATGCTAGGTGAGCAGAGTTCCTGACCTCTGTGGCTAAGTCTGTCCACTGCGGTGACTTTGCAACCCTCACCTGGGCTCTCTGGGCCTGCCACCCTCCACAGCCTCGTGGCCACCAATGCTGCTCGGCTTCGCCTGATTGCAGGACCAGATAAGAGACTGCTAGAGATGGGCTTGCGGCGAGCTCAGGGTCCAGATGGGGGATTCACAGCCTCCATCTACAGCTATCTGGGCGGTGAGGCCAAAAAAAGGCATAGGTTGGGGAAGGGAAGGTACTGTTTTACCCTGAGTTCCCTAAGCCTGCCTGCCTTTTCACCCAGGGTTCAACAGCAGCAGCAACACACTTGCTGGACAACTGAGAGGTGTGCCAGTGGCAGGGACCCTGGCCCATTCCTTTGTCACTTCTTTTTCGGGTAGTGAGGTGCCCCCTGACCCGGTTAGTACTGTTTTATTTTGTGTCATGGACCCATGTAGCCCAGATTTAATCCTGAAATCCTGATCCTCCTGCCACTGTCTCTGTGTACTTTCATGCTGGGCCTAGTCAGTCAGTACCTTTCTCAAGCCACCTTTATTCTAGAGGACAAGATCTCAAAACCAATTCTTAACCCTGTCAGGGGTAGGTTGGACCCTGCTAAATACACTGGCAGATACTGTCCTGGACACTTGGGCCAAGGCTGCACTAGGAAGCTGGCATTACATGGCATCACCTTTGCTCTCAGGCCATGGTATACTGGCCACTCCCAGGTTTAACACTGTACTCTAGAACCATCTTTTAACTAATCTTTTTCTACAGATGTTGGCTCCAGCTTCTACTGAGGGCCCCACAGTGGACCTGACAGTCAGTGTAAATTTGTGGCTGAAGCGTGTGTGCATCTACCTGGGGCTGAAGGTGCAAGAGCCACATCCGGGGGAACGGGCAGCATTTATAGCCTATGCTCTGGCCTTTCCCCGGGCTTTCCAGGGCCTGCTAGATTCCTACAGTGTACACAGGTGAGCTGTGAGCATTTGATCAGGGCAGCCTCAGTAGAGCAACTGAGCTCCTGATCCCTTTTTTTATATGCAGGAGTGGTCTTCCCAACTTTCTGGCAGTAGCCCTGGCATTGGGGGAGCTGGGCTACAGGGCAGTGGGCGTGAGGCTGGACAGTGGTGATTTGCTTCAGCAGGCTCAGGAGATCCGTGGGATCTTTCGAACTGTTGGTACCCAGTGAGTTACCCATGAGGGGTGTGGCATGCCTGCTAGAAACTCCTTGTGGAAATCCCAGGGAGATGGGACAAGGAGGCCATGGACCTATTTCAGGAGCAACTGAAAAAGCCCTGGAAAGGGCTTCTAAGAAAAGGGGTGGGTATAGGCATGGCTGATGGGGACCAAGGAAAGAGGCTAGGGTGAATCAGGAGCATCTGAAGGGGTGCTACCTGTGAACCCATTACATGCAGGTTCCAGGTGCCCTGGCTAGAATCTGTTCCCATTGCAGTCAGTAACAACGTTGATGAGAAGGAGCTAGCACGACTGGCCCAAAAGGTAGAGTGGAAGAGGGATAGGTGGATGGTAGTCTAGAGGGCCCTGGCACCCTACAGGTGGCAGCTTGGCTCAGTGTCACCTCCTCTCCACACAGGGCAGTGAGGTGGACATCATTGGCATTGGCACCAGTGTGGTCACCTGTCCTAAACAGCCTTCTATGGGCTGTGTCTACAAGGTAAAGAGAATGTTTGGCCCCAGGTGAGGCAAGCTGGGACAGGGGCCCAGCTATCTGAACAGCTTGTCATTACAGCTGGTGTCTGTGGGAGGCCAACCTCGAATGAAATTGACAGAGGACCCTGAGAAGCAAACCCTGCCAGGGAGCAAGGCTGCCTTCCGATTTCTAGGCTCTGATGGTGATTTCCCTCTGCCTTTCCCTTGTCCTTTTTCAAGTCTCCAGCCCATATTTGATTATTCTTGCCTTTGCTCAGGGTCTTTCCTACTGGACTTACTGCAGTTGGCAGAAGAGCCCCCACCCAAGGCTGGGCAGGAACTCAGGGTTTGGCCCCAAGGAGCCCAGGAGCCCTGCACTGTGAAGCCAGCCCAGGTGGAGCCATTGTTGCGACTCTGCCTACAACAGGGCCAGGTGACTTCCCCTCACCTGCTCCTTCATTTGAGCTGAGCTCTGATCCCCAGCCAGCATCTCTCCCTTCCTTTTCCCTTCCCTGCAGCTGTGTGAGCCACTTCCATCTCTGGAGGAGTCCAGAACCTTTGCCCAGCAGTCCCTGAGCTGCCTCAACCCCATTCATAAGCAGCTTCAGAGCCCTACAGTGTATCAGGTAGGTCTTTAGGTGGTCTGCCCTGTGTGTCCTATGTGTCCCCTGCCCCACTCCCCAGCTCCAGCTGCCCAGATCCCTCTTTTTCTCTCTACAGGTTGCACTGTCAGAGAAGCTTCGGGCACTAATAGACAGTCTGAGTGCTGGAGGTCCCTTGTAAAACTCACAGGGGTAGTGAACTACCAGAAATAACATGACTCACTGTCCCTACAACTTGTCGTGTGTCATTAGTTCACAAATTGGTCCTGCTTACTTGACTTCTAGACTTCCAGAGCTGGGCTGGAATTGATTTGAGGTAGCTCAGGGACTGCTGGGCAGCAAAGTTTCTGGACTCCTCCACAGGTGGCACTGGCTCACAAAGCTGCAGGGCAGGGGAAAGAGAAGGGAGAGATGCTGTCTCAGGATCAGAGCTCAGCTGGGCTGGGAGTCAGAAATATGAGTTGGCACAGGCCCAGCAATGTGGGAAGGCAGCCATGGGGCTGGACTGTGGGGACCAGGTCTGGGTGGAACAGCATGGCCATAAGACACTGATGACTTACATTCACCTCTGTTTTGAGGATGTTATTGTGAAGGCCCTCACCTACTAGAAGCAGATAGGGGGTTCCTAAGGTTGAGATGAGGTCTCAGAATCTAATAGCCTCCAGCTCCCATATCTACTAAGGGCAATGTCCTGCATCAGTTGAGACATCTCAAGCTACCCACTCCAGCCCTGAATGATCTGTTATAGGCCAAACAGGGGTCTCAATTTCTCACCCAATAACCAAGGAAGGAGGAGGGGATTGAAAAAGCTGAGGCTTCAAGGAGCTGGCTTTGTGAGGGCTGGAAGTGCCTGGGCACAGCAAGCTAGGCAAGGCTCAGAGGAACTGCTCAGGAAGGAGTGTCTTAGTCACTGATCTATTGCAGTGAGAAGACACCATGACCACAACAACTCTTACTAAAGAAAGTATTTAATTGGGGGCTTGCTTACAGTTTCAGAGGTTAATCAGTTACCATCATGGTAGGGAGTTAGGTGGCATACAGGCAGGCACTGTGCTGGGAATTCTGTATACAGAAGGAGACACTGGGCTTGGCATGGGTTTTTGAAATCTCAAAGCCCAGCCCCAACGACACACTTGCATCAGTGAATCCACACCTCCTAATCCTAATCCTTTCAAATAGTGCCATTCCCTGGTGACTAAGCATTCAGATGTATGAACCTTTGGGGGCCATTCTTACTCAAGCCACCATGGGAGGTTCATGGCTTGGCAGGAGGCCGAGTTGGGGCTTGGACATCCTGAGGTACTTGAGTTGAAGAGCCCACTACTTGGAGCACTTGGCACATGTACTTCTGCCATCTGCCCAAGGAGACTGCCAGACCAGTTCATCCAGCTCCCTTGGCTTAGTTCTTGGGAGTGCCTTTAATGTTGGGTGTAGAGTGGGGATTTAGGGCAGAGGCTGGGTCAGCTCTGGGGAGCATGAACCTGGAAAGGGATGCAACTGGACACACAGTACACATACACACTGCGCAGGCAGCCAAGGGTGGAAGATGTATAGGGCATGAGACATAGCACCTCAGAACTGGCAAGGATACAGAATGGCTCACATCAACAACAGTGGGCACTTGCAAAAGTACTTAAGGAGGCTTCACCTGCCCTCACCTTATTTGCTCCACACCCCAAGTATCTCAAATTCAGAGATGATGACAGCATCTGACCACACCCATTCCTAGGATGTCTAGACCAGCCCCTGACTCTGCTATAGCCTCTTCACAATGATCTAAAACTGCCCTGGATCTCTCCCCCAAATAAGAGGGACAGGCAGTTGTGTTAAAGATCTTTCCTCCTCTCCATTCATAGTTCATTATCTTCAAGGTCACTGGTGGCCAGAGCCAGTCTTGACATTCCATTTGACTCCAGCAACCTGGGCAGAAACCCTTCACAAGCCCATGCTAGAGTACCTCTGTGATTCCCCAGTCAACCACTGGCACATGCTCAGACACGTATGCATGTATATGCCCACGCCACCACACCTGTCTGTAGGCCCGCCTGTGGGCCCTCCCAGGGCCTGATTCTAGGTCAGGTCAGAGCACACTTCACTGGAAGAGTGGTGGCAGGTGCTGCTGGTAGGACACCATGGCTGGGTGTGTGTGGGGTCGGGGCAGGGATGGCCCTGTGGGGTCCCTAACTCTGACAGCTCTAGCTGAAGAAATCCAGGTTAACCAGGGGCAGCTTGTGGGACCCTCTTCTACAGGCCCTCAGGCTGAGCCCCTGGAGCTTAGACCTGAGGCTGAGACCTACACTCAAACGCTTATCCCTGCCTTGGAGGCCCAGCCTGGGAATGAAGTGATTGCTCCCACAGCTAGCAGTGAGAAATGTTCCCCACAGGATGCCCAGGAATCAGCCCCTGAGAGACCCTACCAGGTGAGTACTGTGGATGGATGATGCAAGGTTTGGCTAAACAGTTCACTTGGGCACTAGAAAGCAAGAGGTACTGGAGCTGGGGAAAGTGCTGAGGGTAAAAGAGGAATGGAAAAGGTCACAGGGGAAGAAGGTGTGTGGCCATTTGAGGGATGATGAGGCTGGGAGACCGAGGAAGATAGCTGAGATAGGCTTGGGGACTTCATAAACTCCATTCTCTACTCTACCTTCCCTAGGCCTCCCAGTGTTCCTGGGAAGAAGGAACCCTTGCAGACCTTGCATTGTATACAGCTGCCTGTCTGGAGGAGGCTGGCTATGCGGGGACCCAAGCAACGGCATTCACTCTGTCCTCAGCTCTGGAAGCCCAGGGACAACGACTGGATGATCAGGTTAGCATTCCCACCCCCACCTGGAGAATCATGAAAGCCTCTCTTCTGGATGGGAGCCTCAACCACACTCCCCCAAAGGCTGCTCTTACTGAGTTGGAGGTGGTGAGAGTTGCTGGTAAGAGTTTCCTTTTGAATTAAAGGGACCCTGACTCATTTGTCCAGGTCCATGATCTGGTTCGTGGGCTGCTGGCACAGGTGCCTAGCCTGGCAGAGGGGAGACCCCGGCGCGCAGCCCTACGGGTGCTGAGCGCACTGGCTCTGGAGCATGCACAGGATGTGGTGTGTGCACTGCTACCCAGTTCACTACCCCCGGACAGGTAACCTGCCCTGCCCGGCACATATGTGCAGCCCCATGCGGCTTCCTTCCTTGCCCTTTTCCCATTTGATTGCTTGCTCACAGAATCTGGCCCCAGAAGCACCAGGCTGTAAGGGAGCAGGGACTCGGAATCCCCTCCTCTCGACTGTTGCTGCTGCCCCTGTCCGTACCCAGGTTTAGTTTATCACACACACACATCCTTCCTACAGACGTTGGCGGGATAAGTAAGCAGGGTGGTTTGGGAACTTGGAAGCCTCTGGTTCTTTGGGTCATTTACCCCAGAAGTTACCTTTGGTTTATTCTCTACAACAATAACAAAAATAGTAGTAGTAGCAGTAGTAATAGCAGCAGCAGCAGCAGCAGCAGCAGCAATAGTCATCAGGTCTGTTTCCTTGTTCCTGACCTAAGAGGACTCAGCTGCTGATTTCTGGGACTGGCTCTGTTGTGGTCTGCATTTATTTTGTCTGGGATGTGGGCCAGTGGGAAGATGGTTTACTTCTGGAGGGTTTTCCTAGAGTCACAGAGTTTTCCTAAGGATTCCATGCAGCTCCTCCTCATGACATAGCCCTTCACCCCCAGGGTGGCTGCTGAGCTGTGGAGAAGCCTAAGCCGGAATCAGCATGTAAATGGGCAGGTGCTGGTGCAATTACTGTGGGCACTGAAGGGCGCAGCAGGTCCTGAGCCTGAGGCACTGGCAGTAAGTGGCTCCCCACCCCCCAAGTGCCATCAGGGGGTGTGGCCCAGCCACAAGCAGCTAAAGAGCAGCTTTGTGATGGTGGGACTGTGGATTAGCTCCTGAGACACATTTGTGTGGGATGTCCTCCACACATTCCAAATCTGACAAGAGTTCTAAGAGTGGGCTCACTTGATCTGCAGGCCACACGTGCTCTTGGGGAGATGTTGGCAGTCTCTGGCTGTGTGGGAGCCACTCGAGGCTTCTATCCTCACCTGCTGTTAGCACTGGTCACACAGCTGCATGAGCTGGCTCAAGGTGTTCACTCCCCTGACAGCCCTAAGGTTTGGGAGCCTTTTCACCGAGGGCCACCTCACAGTCATGCCAGGTGAGAAGGTACGCTTGGGTAAATGATGGGTGGGCCAGGCTCTTCTTGCCCTTACTGCCCAACTGCTCTACTTTTCCCACCTCCAGCTGCACAGTGGAGGCCTTGAAGGCCCTGCTCACAGGGGATGGAGGCCGAATGGTGGTCACATGTATGGAGCAAGCAGGAGGCTGGAGGAGACTGGTAGGAGCCCACACGCACCTGGAGGGTGTCCTGCTGCTGGCCAGGTGAGGAGACACCCTAGGACAACACAACAGGAGGAGGCTCCCTGCTGGCCAGGTGCGGTAGTGGCATGGAGGAGGTGGTGGGGGTGAGCCCTTCCAAGGGAAGGAAGAGCTCTCTTCTACCCTTCTCTAGTGCCATGGTGGCGCATGCCGATCACCATCTGCGAGGCCTTTTTGCAGACCTGCTTCCTCGGCTACGAAGTACCAATGACCTGCAGCGCCTCACAGCTATGGCCTTCTTTACTGGGGTGAGCCTGCTTCCCAGAAGGGTAATGGTGTGACTGCCTGAATAGACACCGAGAAGCACTGACTCTGTGCCCCTTGCCTAGCTGTTGCAGAGTTGGTCCACGGCACGGCTCTTACGGGAGGAAGTCATCCTGGAGCGACTTCAAACTTGGCAAGGTGACCCAGAGCCCACCGTGCGATGGCTAGGCCTACTCGGTCTTGGCCACCTTGCAATGAATCATGGAAAGGTGCCAATCTGGTAGTGTCGGACCGGGTGGGTCCTAGGCAGAGTCTAGAAGGGTCCAGCCACAAGTCCTGTCTTTACAGATAAGGCATGTGAACACACTGCTGCCGGTGCTCCTAAGAGGGCTGAGCGAAGGTGATACGCGGCTTGTGGGTGCTGCACTAGGCGCTCTAAGGAGACTATTGTTGAAGCCCGGAGCACCTGTGAGGCTCCTTAGCTCTGAGCTGCGACCACGCCTTCCACCGCTACTGGACGATGTGAGCAAAATCCTGCCCTGTGGTCCTACTGTGTCCCACCTGGAATTGTCCATAGATGTGCAATCCCACCCACAGGCTCTCCCTAGGGTGCCCAACCAGTTGCCTGTGGTCCTGGCATCAGATCCAAGGTTAATCTGAGGCCCTGATCAGGCCCGTCCCTCCTTACTCTGCACTGACCTCCTCTCCCACTCTCACTTCCTTGAACTGACTATATTTTCATATGAAGGCTCGGGACTCTGTCCGTGCTTCAGCAGCGGGACTCCTTGGAACGCTGGTGCGGCGTGGTCAGAGAGGGCTCCGGTTGGGGCTTCGGGGACCCCTGCGGAAATTGGTGCTACAGAGCCTGGTGCCGCTGTTGCTGCGCCTACATGACTCCAGCCGGGATGCTGCTGAGGTCAGTGTTCTGTCCCTATCTGTCTCGTCCAGTACTTCTATTCCTACCTTGTGGCCTCTCTGAAGGTTTCAAGCCAGGAACAAGAACCCCATGGACTTTTAGGCCCAGGTCCTCTTCCCTTGGGCTGCTCTACTAAGTACCTCACCCTTGATTTTGCCAACCTTTTTCTGGTCACAATCCCCTTTTTCCTACCACTTGCCATCTTCTGGACCCCTAACCCTGCTTGCTTCCTCCATTCCAGAGCTCAGAGTGGACATTAGCCCGCTGTGACCAGGCCCTTCGATGGGGCCTGTTGGAGGAGATGGTCACTGTGGCTCACTATGACAGCCCCGAGGCGCTAAGCCGTGTCTGCCACTGCCTGGTGAGTAGAGGAAGTACCATGATGGGGGAGAGGGTAAGGTCAGCTGCTCACTTGTCCCAGGAGTCTATAGGCCATCCCCCTCAAAACAGTCTCCACCTGAGCTAAGCATAATCACCAGCCCCTAGCCTTTGTTCACATTGCCTGCTCCAACCTCTTTTTCAGGAAGAACTGATACTTCCTTGCTGTCATGAGCATTTGTGTTCCTAGGTACAGCGATATCCAAGCCATGTTAAGCATTTCCTGAGTCAGACCCAGGGCTACCTGCGGAGCCCTCAGAACACCTTGCGCCTGGCAGCCACTGTGCTTGTAGGTGAGGCAGTCTTATCCATATGACTAGGGCTCTGAGAGGTGAGCCAGCCTCTTTTAGGGTTGGTCCAGACCTCACTGGTTTGCTTTGGTACACAGGCTTCCTCGTCTATCATGCTAGCCCCAGTGCAGTCAGTCAGGACCTGTTGGACTCTTTGTTCCAGGGTGAGGACTAGATCTACCATGGAGTAGAGTACTGGAGAGATGGAGGGTGTTGGAGAGGAGTGGACAAGGCAGAATGGGTGAGGACCCAGGCCCTTCTCCTACTCATCCTAAGTGCCTCTTTATACAGACCTAGGACAGCTGCAGGGTGACCCGGAGTCTGCAGTTTCCGCGGCAGCGCACGTATCTGCCCAGCAGGTGGCGCTACTTGCCCGGGCGCAGGCCCAGCCACGCCGCTCCAGCTTCTTAGGCTTCATCCGACATCACTCACACCCTACAAGGCCCCATCCTTTCTATGATGATAGTCCATTCCTACGCCGGAGCCTTGCAGGCCGATGGAACTGCCCTGAACCTCGTTGAGCCAGGCCTGGTATCCAAATTCATGGGCACACACTATCCATGCTGTCACCAATCCTTACTATAGCAGATCTGCAGAAGAGGATCTCTTCACAGGTCACCCCAGGCCTAGTGCTGGACACTAGCACCCACTGCCCTGTAACTATTTTCTATGGACCCACCATGTGACAGCTGTGTCACAGATGGCCCATTCCATCTCGAGTCCCTCTTGTAGTCTTGGTCTATTTATTCTCTGCTGGGACAGTTCTGTCAACTCCCTGGAGTGTGCCCTCTGCTCTAGGTTAGATCTGGCACCTGTCCTGGATAGCATCTGCTTCCCAAGACAGTCTGATGAGGGCACTGAAGTTGGTGCCACTGTAGGCTGCAATGCCCTCTTCCTAGGGCTCAGTATGCCTACCCATAGTCTTACTGTCATGATCTTCATAGCTATGTCAGTAGTCCATCAATTCTGTTTCTTCTTTCATCCTGTTCCTTACAGCTATCCTGGGTTATGTTCCCTATGTCCTTGAGGTTATGTCCTCAGGAAGCATTGACTTGCTCTCCTGTCCATACCCGCTGTCCTTACTCCTTTGGATAACCAATCCATTTCCTACCCCCACTCATGTCAGAACCCACCTGTACAATGGTGTTCTCTAGAAGGTATCCCTAAGATCCCTCTGTGCAGGAGAGCCCCAGCCAGGATTATACCCGTGGGTTGAAGTATGGGGAGCAGGCACTCCACACCCACCAGACTGTGAATGGGTATGTCATTACCCAATGTCCTGTACAGGGCTCAAATGGAAAGGTATAGCTGGACAGACAGGAAGAGTCAGCCACAGTTGTGATCCCACATCTCCAGGCACTCACAATAGGTAGCTTCCTCCACTTAGAATGCCTACCTTAGAATGTCCTGCAGGGAGGTCTCCTCACAACACAGGATATGCACAGGGTAGTAGGTAATGCCTAGGGATTTGTTTACCCACCCTGGAGTCTCTTTGGGACAAGTTCAGGATCCTATTTACCTAGCACCTTCATAGAAGATGTTCAAAATAAACATGAGTGAGTGGCAGGGGTTGGACAACTGTCCCAGAAAGTGGTTGTGATAAGCTGGATCCTGCACAAGATCCAGCTTGGCTTGCAATGAATAAAATAGTATGCAGAGGACATAGCACTTGCTGCTATAGCCCCAGTCCCCAGGACCACCAACTTCTGCAGAAAGCCCTCCCATTGCAAGTCTGGCAGCTAGGGACTTGGGTTTGACCTATGTCCTCCCTTTCTTTTTTTTGTTTTGGGGTATTTTTTTTTCCCCAAGACAGGGTTTCTTTGTATTGTCCTGGCTGGCTTGGAACTTGCTAGGTAGACCATGCTGGCTCAAACTCAAAGAGGTCCATCCACCTCTGCCTTCCTAGTGCTGAGATTAAAGGCAACATCCACTGCCCAGCTTTGTTTATGTTTTGTTTTGTTCTGTTGGTGCCCTCCCTTTCCACATAGGGTCTGTTGCAGGCCCAGCCAGTCTCCTGTTTCCTTTCACTGGAGATCTCACTGGATCTTCCACCTGGGCTTTGGGTGTGGATGACAAGACCTGCCTATGTTCTGCCCTCCAGGACCTAAGGGTCCTGGAAGCATTGTGGTGGTGCTATGCTTTCTGGGATCTACTTCCATTCCAGGAGTTTTTCAAGAACTTCTGGGTAAGATGGCTGTCCTTGCTAGTTTTATGTTAACTTGACATAAGCTAGTCATCTCATCTGAAAGGAGGGAACCTTAATTGAAAAGATCCAGCTGAAGGGTGCTGTCTTAATTAGTGATGGATGGGGGGAGGGCCCAGACCATTGTGAGTGGTGCCATCCCTGGGCTTGTGGTCCCGGGTCTATAAGAAAGCAGGCCAGGCAAAACACGATGATCAAGTCCATGGCATCTGCATCCCCTCCTGCCTCCAGGTTCTTGCCCTGTTTGGGTTCCTGCCCTGACTTTCTTCAGGGATGGACTGTCACCTGGACATGTAATCTGAAATAAACCCTGTAGTGATAGTCCTTCTGTGGCACTGACCACGCCCATTGGGGGGTGGGGCCATGGGCGGAGTGACCTGTGGAAGGAGGTCGGAAGGAGAGGAAAAGCTCTCTTGCTGGCGTGACTCGGACAGGAGAGGATCGGGTTGAATTTCCTGGTGTTCATCTGTCTAGGTTGTAAGTCATTTCTCCCTGAATAAACATCTATTCGGCCTATTTGTTTATCCTGATCCTTATTTAACCGCGTTAAAACCCTTTCCTCCTCTAAGTTGCTTTGGTCATGATCTTAGCAATAGAAACCCTAATCAAGACAATGGCAGAATAGTGACTGCCTCTGTGAGAGCTGATAGAAAAGGAGTCAGAATCGGAAGAGAAAGGGAAAAAAGATTGTCAGAAACAGAGACAAGACTTCAGAAATCCACAAAGGCAGTGAGAGGATGGTGGAGGAGATCATACATGCTACACAGAGGAGCACACCTAGCACAGGCTCAGCTGCATGGTTCTGGCTGGGGCAGGGGACTGAGAAGCTACTTCCAAAAGGTAAGGCAGTCCAACTCCCAGGAGTTCACAGCACTCAGGAGCCTCAAAGCCACTTGCAATTTTTGGTGTGGGAACTGATCTCTCTGGTGAATGGTGTGTAGCTGAATGAAACCTCACTTTGTTGGGCTTCTGACTCCAAAAGCAGCCATTTTGAGGATCTGATGTTAAAAACAGCTAAGATAGGGAACATCCACAGGTCAGGTTTAATTGGCCCACTGCATCTGGGAGAAGGAAGGCCTAGAGAAGCCCATATGGAGAGTGGGAGGACCAGACACTACCTGGCAGAAATGTGCAGGTGGGGTAGGAGACTGGTTCAGACCAGGAGATGCATAAGGAGGGATGAAATGAAACCTCTTACTTTTTTTTTTTTTTTTTTTCTTCTGAGACAGGATTTCTCTATGTGCAGCTCTAGCCATCCTGGAATTGGCTCTGTAGACCTCCAGCTCACAGAGATGTGCCTGTCTCTGCCTTCCAAGTTCTGGGATCAAAGATGTGTGCCCTTTTATTCATCTAATTTTGTTTCTGAATTTTTCACTATTTGGAAATCTTGGTTTTTGTCTTTGAGAAATTGTTTCACTATATATCCTTGACTTCCTAGATCTACCTTCCCCTGCCTCCTGAGAGCTGGGATTAAGCATCCAGCTAAAACTGTCTTTTAAGATGGAAATAAAGACATCCTAAGGCAAGCACAGGCTAAAGCAGTTCAGTTCATGATCACTGAGCATCTCAGAAGACACTTAAAGGACACTATACACAGAGAGGGAAGAAGCAAACCTCAATTACAAGAGCACAGGAAAGAATATATTTCATGAGAGGAAGAGGCAAGTGGATCTGTGAGTTTGAGGCCAGCCTGGTCTACAGTGCGAGTGCTAAAACAGGCTCCAAAGCAATACAGAGAAACCCTGTCTCAAAAAACAAACAAACAAAACACAACAACAAAAAAATATGTAGTAATTTTATATATGAATGCAGCAAATGTTGTGTTTTATAAGATAAACACTAATGGACATATAAAGTCAGATAGGGCCAGATGTATTAATAGTGAGTGATTTCAATATCTTACTCTAATCTCTAGATAGGGTATCCAAGCTGATAATCAAAGGAACCTCAATGTTGAACTCTACAGTAGAAAAATGAACTTAATAAATATTTTATGGAATGACAAAATAGTTCATCCAACAGATAAAGAATATACACTTTTCTCAGTATACTTCTCTAAGGCTACAAATCAAATCTTTCCAAATAGAAAAGGATCAAATAATCTTTTGTATTTTATCAGATTATATATTAATATATTAATTAGAAATCAGTAACAGGAAAAACTACAGAATTTGCACAAATGTATGGAGATTAAGTAACATCTTTAAATGACTAGTGGGTCACTGAAGAAATCAGGGAAGAAATTTGAAAGTTTCTAGAACTAAGTGAAAATGAAAGTACAAGTTACCAGAATCTTTGGACTACGCGCGCGCGCGCGCACACACACATACACACTAAATAACATATGTAATTTAAAAATAAAAAAGGCAATATCCTCAAACGCAAAAAAATTAAAAGCAAACAATAAAATGGAGAAAAATCCCATTTCCTTTAGCTCCAAAAATAAAAAATATCTTGGTGAAAGATACTAGAAGATGGGAGGCTCTCCTGTGCTCACTGGTGGGTAAAATTAACACTGAAAATGGCTACATCACCAAAGCATTCTAATCTACAGACTTAACACAATCCCCATCAAAGACTTAGTGACATTCCTAGAAATAGTAGTTCTAGAATTTATTTGGAAGCACAAAAGTGCCCAAATAGAGGAATTCTGAGCAATGGAGGTTTCATAATAATGGATCCTAAACTTTAGTACAGACTCACTGTAACAAAACAGATTCATAGGACTCATAGGCCAATGGAGTATAATGGAGGGCATAACATTAAAAATACACAGTTATGGACAACTAACTTTGATAAAACTTTCAAAAACATATATTGAAAAAAGGAGATAGCCTCTTTAACAAATGGTTCTGAAAAAACTATTTCTCTGTGTTAAAGAAGGAAATTAAAGTCTGGCATGGTGATACTGAAAGACCTGCAGAACATGGAACTTCACTCTCCCACTCAGGAAAGGCGACACCCCAAATCACTCACGAGAAGCTGTCTCGATGCAAATAGCATGAGTTTTTATTCCAAGTGCACTGGAGTCAACAGTCATATGCCACGCAGGGGTAGAGGACTGAGGACCTCTAGTGCCGAATTGCGGCAGCTTTTATAGGATTTACATCAAAGCTAACAAGGCCAGTTTCAAAGCTAGCCTGTTATTTTCACTAGGCCTAAAAGCAAGGTCATGGGATAGTTCAAAACTTGGATGGTTAGTAAGGTTTCCTAGGTTACAGAGATTTAGCTCACCTCCAAGGTTAGGGGGTTTTTCTTTCTCAAGAACCAGCGGGCTCAGGGGCTCAGTGGCCTTGTCCTTGAGCGGCTGTGAGAATGTACTTTCCAGTCAGGAAGTTATCTATATCTATTGGCAGAGGCTTTTGTTTTCTCTGTCTTTCCGTTTTTGCTCTGAGTTCCATCTTTTAGTTACTAATTTTCTTTGTGGACAGGATGACCCATAATAGTTCCCAGACTGTTGTTGTGGATAACAACATTCTTCAGAAACTAGGTGGTTATGAATTATTATTTCCAGAAACCAGTCATCATGCCCAAGCTATTTCATGTGTTTTTCTTTTTCCTGAGCTTTGCATGCAGCTAGGGTGATTTTTAAATACATGCTGATGGACTTTTTCTAAATTTCTAACTTTTAATGGTCATTAGAGAATTAGGCTGTATTTTCATCCTTTCAGTACATGCCTTTAAACCCACAAAACACAAACAAAATAATAAAAAAAAAATGGAAAAAGAAAATGTGGCACCTATACACAATGGAATTTTACCCAGCCATACAGAATAATGAACTCATGGAACTTCCTGAGAAGATGCAACTGGCAAGCATTATGTTAAGTGAGATAAACCGGACCCTGTTGGGGACTATAGAGGTGGTTTCATTTCATATTAACTTAAAGTCAGAGAATTCAAAACTATCTTTGCTCTTTCAAGGTTAAAGGCCTAAGGCCTAAAGGTCTAAGGCGTGGCTACTGAAGGTTGTTTTTGGCCTAAGGTGTGGATGTCTTACCTAGATAGCAGAATACTTGATCTAAGGTGTGGCTACTAATGGAGAGTTAAGGAAGTAATTAAGTCTGTTTGTTCCTTGTATTGTAGTAAAGTCTTGCCTTTTCCCTACTTTTGGTTGGGGTACATAAGGATTTTGAGCAATAAACTTAACGCAGATCACAGTATTCCCTGGGATGCCCTCCTGACTCTATCTTCTGTCTTTGGTCTGTTTCTTTCCTCAATCCACACTCCCCCTCTCAGGTATGGACTGGACAAGTCAGCTAGACCAGACAGATGTCCCTCTATGTGGGGTTACAAATGCTGTGTAACGTTGGGCCTGACAAGACTCAAAATACAAATAGATATTTCACTTATATGCAGGATAATGTTGCTTTGTTTCACTGTTGGTTTTCTTGATGGTTGTGGTGGGTTGAAGAATGGCTCATATATTTAATACTTAGTTGCCATGGAGAGACACTATAAATATTAAAAGGATTAGGAGGTGTTCCCTTGTTGGAGTAGGTATGGCTTCTTTGGAGGAAAGTATGTCACTGGGGGCGGGCTTTGAGGTTTCAAAAGCCCAAGCCAGGCCCAGTGTCCTCCTGTCACTCTCAGCCTGTGGGCCAGGATATAGCTCTCAGTTACTTCTCCAGCACCATATCTGCCTGTCTGCTGCCATACTCTCTGCCATGATAATGGATAAAGCTTCCAAATCTGTAAACAAGCCTAAATTAAATGCTTTACTTCATAAAAATTGCCATGGTCATGGTATCTCCTCACGGTAAAAGTGACCAGGATAGTGGTTTAATGCTCCAGCTACAGAGGAATGTTCAGTCTCTTCTGGTTAGTAAATCCTGAATGTTGCGTGTGTCTGTGATCTGCCAGGAAGGAGGTGCTGTTGCTTCAACCTGAGCTACATTGTGTGGGTGGTGAGGCCCCCTCCAAGTACCAACGCATTTCTCCTGGCTTTATCAAGCTCCCAGGGGTGGCCATAACACCTTGGCCACATCACTCAGGATCATTTCTCCTAGACATAGCCAGTGCCTCCTGATCCTTGTGAGGAATGGACCTCTATCCTCATGCCATGAGATCTGCTGAATTCCCAGAATCTGCCTGTCTAGAGGTCACACTTGTATGCTAGTGACATAACACTGTCACAAAGCATGGGTCTGCTACCTTACCTGTGTGCCCCAAGTCCCCTGAAGCAGAGTGTAACCCTAACCCAAGTATGGAGTTACTCCTAAACTGTGCATCTTTTCTAGGAAAGTATTTGAAGGCTTGACTATGTCCAAACACAGATGCTGTGTAACAGTTTCTGTTGTAGTTAGCTGTGGTGAGATGGATCACACCAGACAACACGCTTTCATGTTGGAGAAAAGGAGGAGAGGGAATTGGGATGTGCAAAGGACTGACTGCCTCTTTGGAAGAGCACTCAGATCTTCCTGGGTCTTTGGGCCCAGGCTCTTAGGAGAACAGTCAGGGGGCTCCTCATTTTAAGGAAATAAAGGGTGGAGAATTGTTAGAGTTAGAAAAGCA